GATCAAAATATTTAAAATAGGGAAGATTGCAGAACAATGTCATGTTCTTGAACAAGCCCATCTTCATCACAGAGACTGCTTATGTGTTTTGGTGGATTGACTTAAGAAAGTGCCACCCCAATGCAGGACCTGCCCTACCACCCTGCTAAGTGGCATCTACTTTTCTTGGCAGATGTGGCACAAAGCAGTGTCAGGTCTGCTGTGTTCTCCTGAAGACAAAACTCTGTGTGTCAACCTGGATTCCTTTCTCATGAACAACAAGTGCAAGTCTCAAATAGCCCATGTTGTTCCCTCTAAAATAATGTATACCTTAAAAGATGTTTTTTGCTGGTATTGAAATTTTTGCAGCTTGGTTTCCACTTGGTTTCTGCATGTGGAATGGATAACAATGCTTCCTTGTCAGGCACTAAAATAAGATCTCTTGGGCTCTACCATGTGACAAAAATTTCAATAACTATCTTTGTGATGGTGCTGGTTGAGTTCTTTATCAGGATATGCCCAAAGTGTTCAGGCTGATAGCAAGATAGAAATTGCCCTCAGTATTTTTAATATGCTGAATTTATTCCATAAAAAAGGGAAATCATAGTTGTGGGGAGGGAATTTCAGTCTTGCCTTTGCATAATTGCAACTTCAACTAAATAAAGCAACTACTCTCTTTGCAAAACTGACTTCACAGTTGCCTGGTCAGCTCTTCTTGGTATAGGGCTTTCAGTAGAAATTAAATATTTGCTTTTGCAGTACCCTACACTCTGCTTTCTGAATATTCAATGTGTTTGTTTTTCTAGAGGGCTAGAGACCCCTGGACAAAAGGGTTCAGCAGGAGAGAGTGCAATAAAAAGAGGTTGTGAGTCTTTAACCTTGAGCCTGATAATGAATGTGAACCCAATTCTGGTACTTGGCTTAGATAAAGCCAGGTAAACATTCGAGTATAAGCCCATATTTTACCACTCTAGTACAAATGGGTTATCGATATTGAATTGTGGGGAGGGATATTTTTGTATTTGGCCAGAATGTTTGTTTTTCTTCAGATGGAGGTAAAAAATCCTCAGTATTTAAAAATGTGTTAGTGTTTATCCTTTGTTTGCGGAACAGAACTATTGAAGTCTTACTTTCAGCAAATCTGAAACACTTTTCATTGCAGCAGCAGAGAAGAAGGAAGTGGAAACTAAAAGCCATGTCAGAATGTCCTGAAGTGTGATCCCCACCCTTACCCCAGTCCTTTGTTAAAAACATTTTTCTGTTGTCTCCATTCCTGTAAGAAAATGGAACCATGTTTCTTGCTGTTTATCATTTCCTTTTCATTAGCTGTCTCCATTACATCATTGCCATCTTTATGATATATATTTTTCTAGTGTGTTTTCATACAATATATGTGCATAGAGAGCAGGCCTACAAAGTTTTAAAGATGCCATGGAATAACCTAATCTCCTGCATTTACCATCACAAAATCTCTGAACAGGGATTTAATTAGTCTATAGATCCTAATTTAAAGATTAGCCAATACAAACATCTCTGGAGATGGTATTCTATGAGTTTCCTAGATGGCGTATATGCAGAATTGCTAAAAGTGTGCCTCATTCTATAGATTCACAAACTAGTTTGGAAACAAGGCAACAATATATGCACACTACTTTAAAATAGGCTAGATGCATGCTGAAGCCTCTTAGTATCTTCTACACTGAAAGTCAAACTAATTTGGCCATGGCACATTCTTTCTAGAATAAAAATAAAAATAAAGAATATCTGTATTCAATTGCTTACAGTTTAAACAGCATCAAGAAAGATTATTCCACCAACTACAGATGATGTAGAAATGTTGCCTGAAAACTCCTGATATTTTATGAGGGTCTTTTCACTATGTTCATTTCCAAATGTGAAAAAGAGCTTGCCAAGGTTCTCTGCATCTACATATGAATCATCCTTGGTTGATTTCTCCTAACTTTATTGGGAGAAAACTTTATTCTTGATTCTGCATCTTGAGGAGGAATAATCCAAAACATTTTCCTAAAAAAGAAGAAACACTGATGGGCTCCCATGGGCCAAATGCAACCCAGACCCGTGGTAGCTTCCAGACAGATTCCTGAGATCAGATCACTGATACAGCAATGGAGGCAGAGTGATAAATAAAGTTTTGCTCTCTCTCTCTCTCTCTCTCTCTCTCTCTCTCTCTCTCTCTCTCTCTCTCTCTCTCTCTCTCTCTCTCTCTCTTTTTGAATTTGAGACATGATTGTGTTAAAAATAAGGCAAACTAAATTTCCTAAATCTTGAACTTTTAACTCTCAGCCCATACTTACCAATGTCTTTATTTCATTGCTATGCCTTCTATTATTTGAATTCTGAGGGGAAAACAATCAGAAAATATATAGCCCCTGTCTACAAAAAGGTTTTCTCCTATTCTAATTAAATGAAGGTAATAATAAGAGAGGAATAATAATTCTGGAGTTGTACATAATGAAAATTTGTGTGATTAGTTACAAACAGTGTCATTTTACAGGCTAGTGATGTGGTCCACCGGACAGGTTACTTAGTTGGCCAAGAAGGCATTCACTGGATTATCTTGGATATCCTCTTTCTTAATCATTGCTCCCAATGCATATAGAGTAATAAACCTCCAAGCAAAAGATTTCTGAGTGCACATTAATAGTATCCTAAAAATACAAATAGCTTGTGAGGAGATCTTATATCTAATATATATAAAGTAATGCTAAATGTTGTTCTGACTCAAGACCACATTCTTTGAAACAGAGTTTGTCTATGATGAGTTACATGAATTTATTTTGAAATTATGTGTGCAAAGAAGCCAGGATTTTTTAAAAATAGAATTTAAATAGAATTAATTATAATTCCTCCAATATGTTAACTACAATTCTATAGAAATGTAACACTGGGATAAAAACTGTTAAGTGGACAGGGATATTTTCTTTCTCTTCAAGATGAGTTTTCTATCATACTGGGCATTTTCTGTTTCAGAGTTATTTGGCCAGAATAAGAAGTAGTTAAATTCCCATTATGTTTCTCTTACATAAATGCTTGAATAAGAAAGGTCCTTAGGGATCATTTCTGAGAAGAGTACCCCAGTAAATTAAGTGAAGTACTACCTTCACTTTCAACTGCAGATGACCAACGGGAAAAATGTTTTAACTAGTTGGCACATATATGCAAGATTGAAAGGACAACAAGAAACTGGAAATGTGCTTGGCCTATTGTGTGCCTTTAGCAATTAACTTTGAAGAGTTCACAAAAGGAACTTTGAGGAATTGGAAACTTTTGTGTGTAAGGAAAAAAAGTTTATTTTTCTTTTCCTTTTCTCATTTTGGCTTTGCAATAGTAGTTGAGTCCAAAAATCCATTGGCTATTCAATTTCTAGATGCAATTAGAACTAAATTTAGAAGCTATTGATGTTGATTTCAGTTTTTCTGAGAGATGTTTTTCTTAATCGATGGCTGAATTTTAAAGAATCAGCCACAATAGAGTTTCTAGACACTCTGATGCCACTAGAAGAGGCAGGATTGGATTTTTGATCTTTAAGGTAGTTGCATTCTCCTCACCAGCTTTTAATCCTACACCCCGCAGAGTGGCTGCAGTGACTCTGCTTAGAGCATGAGCAGGATTGTTTCATTCACCCTATAATTAAGGACCAAGCAAAACGCCCAGAAGTCACAGAATTCATTTATAATCATGACACATTTCTCAACAGTGCACATATTTTACCATTCTGTTTTTTCCTTTGATGATTTTTTTACCTTCAAGAAATGCCACTTTTCTCCTTGGTAGCACTGAACAGGAGACATTTAAAATACTCTCTTCTTTCAAGGAGATTTTTTCTGCCCTGCAACAGATGGATCAGTTTCCACCTCAGATATCTGCAGACATAGTAAATTGGTCTGCCGTATTGCCACAGTTCTATTTAATAAAACCTACTGCTCATTTTTCTCATCTTATAATTTAGTAAGAGAAAAGCAGGAAAAATACACTGAAACAATTAAATGGTCATAGTTTGAGAGCTACAGAACTGACATAAAAAGTACCTTTACTAGCTTACTTTTATGAGTCATATTTACATGGGTTAATCTGATGTTTTATAATTCCAGTATATGAAACCTCATAATCACAATATATAATAAATTACTTATTAATAGTTTTTTTTTAAAAAAATGGCCAGAACATTGGGTTTATACTCGAGTGTTTACCTCACATATGCATGAAAAATAAACAAAAGTTGATCAACAATTTCATGTTCACATTATCCAGGCTTTCAAGTGTAGTTGTTGTGTGCCAGTTAGCTGTGTTTACGTGATAACAGACATTTTCCTAGCATGTTTTTTTGCCCCAATATTTTGTCTGCTTGGCTTCTTTTTTGTTGTTATTGCTGTGCTCCTGGCTGTTTCATTTATTTTGCTTTATTTTATTTTATTTGGAAAAAAGATGGTCATTATTTTCGGGGACTCTTACATTTGGCTCCTGTGTTTGTCTCTCATACTTTTCCATCCAACTGTGTCTGTGTTTTGTGCTTTCTTGTTTGAGATATGCAATTTATTTTGTCTTATACTTTTCTGTACAAAGGAATACTGTATGTTTTTTTTTTTAAAAAAAAAACACACACCAAGGCTTTCCTACTTACTCACTGCAAAATGAGAAAGGTGCATGGTACTACATTTGCTTTGGAATTAACATGGCTTGTCTTTTACTAGGAATGTACCACATGAGTGGATTTCACTTTCTTTAACCAGCGCTTCCCATCAGTTCTGGGAACAGGTCTGATGGCTTTAAACTCATATGGTCTTAACATTGCAGTTCATACAGATGCTCAAAATGTACAAAGCTGAGTCTCTTGTTTATGCCTTTAGAATCCAGAGACTGTGAACTACAGCTGCCTGTGTGCCCTAACCATACATCACATTTTTTCACCCAATATCCCTTCCCCCAAGAATTAATATCCCTTTGTGGTGCTTTCAAAAAGCCGTTGCCACTGACATCTCTCATCTTTTTCCTTCTCCCAGATCCGCGTCGTGAAGGCATTCCGTAGCTCTCTCTATGAAGGTTTGGAAAAACCGGAATCTAGAACCTCCATTCACAACTTTATGACTCATCCTGAATTTAGGATAGAAGATTCCCAGCCCCATATTCCTCTCATTGATGACACAGAACTAGAAGAAGACTCTGTCCTCAAGCAAAAGCCGAGTCCCCCATCTTCGCTGAACAAGAACAATAGTGCTATTGACAGTGGGATAAACCTTACAACTGACACAAGCAAATCAGCTACCTCTTCTAGTCCAGGAAGCCCAATTCATAGCCTGGAAACATCACTTTAGCTGAAAAGTCACTGCAAAAATATCAATATAAATAATAATAATAATAATATATAACAGAGACAAATAAGTATAAACAATGCTGGCTGAGAAGCTGTTTGAATTCCTGATCACTTTGAAGAAACAGATAAATGAATGCATCATTAGTCACAGTGATTTTTGGAAGAATGAATGGTTGATTGACATATTCCCCCTTTTGTCTCCTGCAGAAACAAACAAAAACAGTACAAACGCTATCCTGCATGAATGTATTCCCCACTTCAACCCCACCTCCTTTTTAATTCCTTGAACAGGAAAAGGAGAAGACTTATTTGGAGCTATTTATCCAATTCACCAGTTTGTGAGTTTTTTAAATGCTTGTGTGGCATGGACTCAGTTGTATAGATTAATTTAAATATTATTTTTTGAAATTGCAAAGCTTAACTTGCACAGTAGATTTGCACCAGTTGGCCAGAGGAACCTAAAATGAACATTTATGAAAATATATATAGAAATATATAAATAATATATTATAACTATATATATATATATATATATCCATATCTAAGCTTACACACATATACATATATTCATATATACTATATGTGCATGTGTGTGCACAAGTATGTATGTATATGTGTGTGTGTGAAATATATATATATACACACACACATGCACACATTTCTTTGTTGGCATGTTGCCTTTTTTCTGCTCAAATCATTCTATTTTAACTTATTTATGTCCTAAAAATAAAGAATGTAATTTGTTTACAGAACTGTAGATAATTTCCTTAACGTTTGTAGGTTTAAGACAGCACTACCTGCCGAGATCATTTACAATTTGCTGTGATCTGATTTTTGCCTGACAGGATTGGTGGGGATTTGGGGATGGGTGGGAGGTGGGATGGGGGTTATGTAGATACTTCTAGCAAATAACAAAGAAGCCAAAATATTACAAACTGGATGTAGCGCTGTGATCCCAAATAGAGGGTTCTGAACAGAAAGGCTTCCTTTGTTTTAAAAGAAATTTAAATAATCAGGTTTTTTGTGCTCTCTCTCTCTCTCTCTCTCTCTCTCTCTCTCTCTCTCTCTCTCTCTCTCTCTCTCTCTCTCTCTCTCTCTCTCTCTCTCTCTCTCTCTCTTTTAATGAATTGTTTCATTTCATCTTGATGCAATACTCAATAATGAGGCCATTTCCTTATTTAAATGTATTGCGACGGCTTCTTAAAAATATATTTTTTAAAAAGACATTATAATAAAGTTCACTGGAGTTTCTGAAAAACTCAATCCATTCAAAAATAAGTTATATTTAGCTTTGTATGAAGATCAGACTGATATTGGAATACTGTGTGCTGATTCTGTTTTATTAAAAATGTAGACATTCATTTCTTGCAAAGTATGGGCTGTTGGCATTTTGAACGAGAACCACTATGGTTTGTTGCTTTGATATTAAAAAAAAAAAAGAAAATATATAATTTTCTGCACTATGTAGTTCTGAATGAAACTTTATGAAATGTATACTAACGTGCTTTGTGTGATTATTTTAAAAACAGTTTGTCTTCCCATAGTCACAAACGTATATACGGTAGTAGAAATTAACCAACTTTGATATCATATTGTGCTTTCTACAGGGAAAGCCCTTAATCACATCTGCTATGTGGTTGGGTTGTTTTTTTTCAAGATGGTAACAGCCCTGAAAATATGGACACTTCTATAATTGTTATGTCAACCATTTGAATGCAAAACTCTTTGTGGGTCACAATTTTTTCATAACCGACTTTTCTATTTAGTACAAGGTTTGCTTGAAAACTTTTCGGCATATGATCTTTTCCATAAAACTGTATAGTCCGGGAGACATTTTGATTAACACAACAATATGAGAAGAGTGGACAAAAGACCGTTTTATTTAGCTTATCAACTTACTAGTAGTGATATTGCCTGCTGTTTTAAAGTTGTTTGATGAAGCGGATCACCTCTGTAATCAGAAGAACCATTGCAAGCCAGAAAAACGTATATCAAGATAAAGTTCCTGGCTAAATGTCAGCTTGAAATGAATAATAATCCAAGGCATGCTCATGACTATTCAGCCAGGAAAGTTCTAATCAACTTGAATTGCCAGCTTCTGGACTTTTCTAATATGGTTTTAATGTATTTTGACAATACACTCTTTGTTTTGATCCAAATGTCTGACAGAACAGCAAATGTTTCTAGGTTTGTGCAGCCCTCTTCTCCACAGTGTTACCCATTTCTTAACTCTCACAGCTGGCAGGAAAGACCAGCTGATCACTTTATTCTTACAATCAAACTGAAAGTTTATCAGGGTTTAACCTTGGATTGTAAATAACAGTGACTAACCTTTGTATAATACTGAGATTCTATATTCTACATGGAATACCACATTTGAGAATATAAAGTCTATATACAGGGAAAAGCATGTCGATTTGAACTCAAGTAACTACAGAATTATTGCTATTGGAATACATTCTGTTTTCAACATCTTAACGATTTACTTTTTATTTCAAGATTGGCTTTTTTCCCCTTGTATTTTTTCTTTAAGATTTCACTATGTGTGTGTGCGTGTGTGCGTGTGTGTGTGTGTGTGTGTGTTGTAATATTGCTTCCTAAATAACTAGAAAGTACCATTTGCTGACTTGAAAAACTATTCAAAAGAAACCAGCACTCAATTCTGTACATACCTGGTTTTAAAAGAAAGAAAAAGAAAATAGATTATATATCAATGTGATGCATAGGATTCTCTCAAGAACAACAAAAAAACTGTTTGTGCTTATGTACACATGAAAGAGCCTTTTTCAAGAAAACAGCAGAAATGGATGAGTTCAAAGAACCTTTTTGATTACCAGATGTGCATCATGTACTTTTCTATTTGTGACAAGAGGATGATATGAAAAACTAAGATGATCTATATGTTGAAATTCACTGCAATATATAAAATGCTTGCTCTCTATTGTACCTGAAAGCATGAGATCTCTGGAAAAAAAATACAGCAGTACATTTGGCAATCCATCCCACTAGGGGTTATTATTTCTATATGTTTATTCATCTGTTTTTATGAATTTTTTAAATCTAGACAATAATTGTAAATAAAGAGCTCACTGTCTCTGTTCATTTAATACTATGCAAAAGATTTGTGCTTTTTATTGTTATTCTACAGTGTGATGCAGGAATGTTTGTAGTTTTAAAAACAAAACTATACATTACGACCCAACAACCCAAAAGTAAAATATTTGATATAAATTATTTTATAGTTTAAAATAATATTATGTTTTTCTTGCTGCTTTCTGTCAAATAAATATCTCCTGGCAGGGGTCAAGTGGAAATTGAAAATAAATAAATAAATTCAAAGGGCAGCATGAACAATAAATGTCTGAAAATAACATTTTTTATTTCCATTTTCCATTCACATTTTTGAATATATTTAATATAATTATTTAATCTATTTTATTCCAAACTGTTATAAGTGTTTTGGCATTACCACAAAAAGAATTCTTTGTCAGACACAGTCTGCTGATGGAATTAAGTTCTTCATAAAAAAAAAATAAATCCAAAGGGCAGCATGAACAATAAATGTCTGAAAATAACATTTTTTATTTCCATTTTCCATTGTGATATCACATTTTTGAATATATTTAATATAATTATTTAATCTATTTTATTCCAAACTATTATAAGTGTTTTGGCATTACCACAGAAAAAATTCTTTGTCAGACACAGTCTGCTGATGGAATTAAACTCTTCATAAAAAATTTTAGGCATTTGACTGAAAATCAGAAAGTTTTCCTTAAAGCATTTGTTAATAAAAACACTGGATTAAATTACCACAGTGTACATGGATCCATTTGGTACATCATCTGATCTTATATAGAGGATCAAATTATATTGGTTACTCAAAATTATTTTACCAAATAATTAGAAGATTTTTTGAGGAAATTAGATAAATTTATTATCTGTGCCTGTCCTTTGAAATGCTAAAGAAAGAATATTTTTCTTACCAATTTTAACTCCTCTCCAATTCTGAAATGCAGCAGAGTTTAAATATTTTCTCCTTAATAAATACCACTGTCTAAACTAAAACATTGTTGGTATAAAAGTTCTCCAAAATTTTTATAATTTTTGCAGCAGAATTTTTTAGCATATGGCAGAAGTCAAAAATTCTGAGAATGCCTCAGGTAGATGAAATGTCTATTTTGAAGGTGCTTTATTTTCTCCCTGGAGATTTATATGTCTTAAATGTGGCTCCATCCATCACCACTTCTATAGTCATATTAAACAACAGTTTGATTTGGTTTAAGCTGGCCAAAGTCCAGATTTTCATGAGGCAAGTCCTTAAACTACTTTTTAGATAATTATTTCATCAAGCTGTTATGCTCTTGTCTTTTATCATAAATTATAAGAGACATAATTTCTTAAATCATCTCTTTTATGGAAGACACTATAGTTTTTAGAAGAATATTTGAGTTTGACAGAGAATTTACATTATTTTAAGGTCTGATATATAAATTGTCATTTGATTTTGTGAATGGCAAGTAGATTTAAATCAATACATTTTTCAAGTAGCATCTAATTTTCTTATTTTGCTAGAGTAATGAGGGAATATTGAAACAAATTGAGGATGGGCTGGTCCAGCACAAGTCCAAAAGCTCAGAAGACTAACCTCTGGTCATGGTAACTGACCCAGATTGGATCCTGCAACATTACCCTGGGACATTTATATTTGCCTTCATTCATGAAATGAATTAGTTATTTAATTTGATTCACTAAGATGCAAATTTTCCTGTAAATTCCAGTGATTTATATATTTAATTGGTTAAAAAAAGAGCAGTGTTGAAATGACTTTTCTTTCAGTATAGTTATTTATTTCAGATAATCCACTTTATTTAAAAATATTCAAGACTTCCTTGAAATTTTGGGAAGTTCCAGTAAAAGAGAGCAATTCTTGTATACCAAATACCAGAGAGTTTTATACTCCTTCTTTTCACCTTTTCCTTCAAGCACACAACTTTAGAAGGGCACATACGCAGCAGTGACAGATAAAGGCGACAATTGCCTAGCCTGCCAAATCAACTTGGTAATAAACGTTGTAGCCAGAATGTCTTTACAACACTTAGTACATAAATAGAAAAAATGGCAAATAATAGATTTCAAAATTGCAACAATAGATAATTTCATCTAGTCAAATCTTCTTAGGCCTTATAAGTGCAGATTTATCCTTTCTTTTATTCAGAGTTTCATGGACTGTTTATTGGAGGTTGCCCTATAGTGTGATAACTCCATTGTTAGGGCAAGGCTCACATAATTGTTTTGTAGATGGGGGTAGGGATAAGGATAGTACTTTGACTCTTGTCTTTTGTCATAAGATCAGTATGGTGCACCTTAAAGGCTGATTACCTTTCACTCGAGCAGGAATCCAATAAATGATTCAGTTCACATATGTGAGGAAAAGTTCTTATGTGCTATGATGGCATATGAAGTTGATGAAGTTACAAGGGCTTACTTAACTTTCCTCTCTTTTGTGGTTTGGATTGGTTGTTTCCTGCTTTAATCTGCATTAGTTTACTTTTGTGGAGGTAAGTATAT